AAGTAACCCACAGCCACCCCGTGGTATAGGGAATATTGAGATGGGGAGGTTAGTTTGCCCTTTTTATCGATTTAAAAGTCGATTGGATATATGCAATATTTGAGGCAAAACATATGGCATATTGAAATGTGGTATACGGGACTTTCATTTGAAAGGATTGCACTTTTTGGATATGGGATAATGCTAATACCCTCCCCCCCCTTCCCCACTTTCCAAAAAAAACCCTAAACGCGAAAACAACATTGAAACTTTGAAAGAATTTAAATTATCTATTTACCACAATAACTGACTCGACAGCTGCTTCATTTTCCATATCTTTAACAGGTACATGTATATATTAAAAGGTTATGCATAGTGTTGTCAGTTATAAATCGAGATATATATTCATGTAAGTAAATTTGTTCTTAATATTAACCTGTAAGTTGCTTCATTATTTTTTATTTTGCGCGTTAATGTCATCGTTTAACTGGACACTGCCGTTTTTACACACAAAATACCATTGACAAGCTGGAAGACACGTTTATTATTTTTCAGTTACTATTATCCCATAAAGAAATTACGATTATAAAACAAGAAAAATGCCATCGAATTACGATTATCATCCCGAATATTTGGACGGCAATTGTCTTAGCGCTTAGACAATTATAGTGCACCGTTACGATTCAAATATGATGTAATGGTATAGAAAAACCTTGCAGCTGAGTTACTCTTGACAACAACGGGCTACATCTGAGAAAAATGACTGAAAAGATTTTACCTATTTCTGCCGTCGCCATATTGGGATCGTCGTAATTCCAGTTACGATTATCAGTTTAACACCAGTGCTATGATGAAAGCTTAGGGATATGATACCGAAGATTTCATTAACTCCACTTATATGTGACTAGCCACGAAATTTTCAGGCTTATGGAGGTACCTAGCTTAAAATTGGTTTATTACATATTTACTAAGTACAGACTGAAAGAAAACATCTTGTCAAGTTATTTTGACAAATTCGTTATAATAAAGGACTTACATTTCATTTCGTATTGTGCCATTTGTTGAATTTTAACGCTGACGTCAAGATTTTTTATTCGAATTTGTTTAATCATGAAAGTATTCCATCAGTTTCTTATAAATTTTCAACCGCGTTTTGTACACTATTTCAAAGGAGTATAGAAAAAAATGAAATTATCATTTTATTTTTGCGTAGTTATGACCTCACCTTTTCAGTACTTACCAGATAATACGCATGTCTTTGTTCTTTGTCTTTAAATAAATGGTCTAGTTAAATGATGCATGACTTTTGGTTTTCTGTCTCTTTTGCTTGCTGTTTGATTGATGCCTCACGTTTCAGATTATTAATACTCGTATAAAATTTGAAAAAAAAAGCATGCATCGCAAGGTCTTACCATGGAAGTATTCTATAATACTTCCATGGTCTTACTGACATTTCAGAAAATGGACTCAAAACAGTGACAATAAAGTCAAAATGGGATTTCCAAAATTGCAATAGAAATAAAATAAAATATAAAAACTTAGTAGTGATCATTTTTATGAGCATTGTTGTTTGACCTTGTTAGTTATATCCATTGTCATTTTCTTAAAATTTTTATCATAAAAAAAACCTACTAGTAGGTATTATTGTAATCTTGCATATGGATCCAACGCCTATTGTCGGAAAGGACCGGTCTATCAAAAGTGCGGATCATTTTAATTATTTAAGTAACTAAATTAAGTAAGTTATCATGCCTTTTAATTTCCTGTACGCGTTCAATATGTTCAATTGCCACGTTAGCTTTTATTTTCCTTTGACTATACCTAAATATGTTGATGATGTAGATTCTGAAATTATGCACCATGCCCCAGAACAGCATAAATATCATGGTATACAAAATGACACAATTAATGTGATATTGTCTTAATGGTGAAAGGTATTTAAAAACGCTTCAAACAGCTAACATTTTTCAACAACTTAATATACGCACACGCGTATGAAATAATTTATCAACATGTATATAGATTTAATCGAGTAAATGGTGTTTCCAATGAAGAAAACCCACTACACCTCCCTCCCCTTTTTGGTCTTTTATTGAACATGTATCATTTTTGGTGGTATCTCTGCATGGGATTTGGTACATTAAAATGTTCATCTTTTTTAATAACATTTTTTGCCCGAACCAATTTAAGACAAAGATATCGTTTATGTTTGATTAATTGAATGCCCCTAACAAACAATAGATTTTCATCCAAATGAAAAAAATCACAGTTCCTCTTACATGTTAGTATCAAAAAGAATTAATATGGTAATCAATAGTATATCAAGGATAAGAAACTAAAGTGTATGCAGAGGTAAATTTTTAAATTACTAGAACACTACCGCGACATCGCTGGTCCGTGACTGAATCAAAGTAACTACGCCTTATTTTCAGCCTGGATTTTGAGAATTCGTATTGTCATTTGATAAAGTCATGCTGATTATAAGGTGCACAGTTTTCTCTGCTTTCAAAATCGTTCTGTTTGAATCCGTTCGGGTTTCTTACTACAACCGGAAACTACTTGTAGATATATTTTTTTGGTCAATGATTGAATTTAATAGTGTCAATCCCTGTATAATGACGAAGTTCAGGTGTGATTATGACCCGTGTATAAAGCAAATCTCAAATACACCGTTTGGTGGTGCGCCTGACAGAGGCGAAACGTACATATTAGGTAACATGTAAAAGGTACTATTGGTATCGGTATCGGATTCGACCCGGAACTTGTTTATCATTATAATATTAATTATGTGGAAAACAAAAAGGCTTGGAATGGTGTAATTTTTTATCAACACCATTGTCCTATATAAGTTATATATAAAGTTGAATTCTTTGATTCTTCGTTTTTACGTCATGTCGGCTAACAAATTGGACCTCGTTATTTTAGTACATGTAGTATAGATTATATCCAATCATACATGTGCGATCCATATCGGTTATTTTGTGGAAGCGAAACCATATCGGTTATTTTGTGGAAGCGAACCCACATTCAGTGCTGCGGGAGAATGTGTGTTAAGTACGTTAATAAGATAAGAGTAAAGACTTGTAGGCTTTAAATAAGAATAATTAGTTTCGATCGGAAGACACACTCAAGTACTTCTCTGGAGCAAATAAAAACTACGACTCAGCGTATATATCTAGCACAAAACAAAGGTGTGCATGTACAACACATTAACGTGTACTAGTACTTGTCATGAATACCCATGCAATATTTGGCGCTAGACATATAATAACATAACTTACCAACTACTTTATTTTATTGTATAAAAACAATAAATTTTCATTCCAGTTGGTGAAATTAATGAAATTTAATACCTAATCATAAAAATAGTTATTTATGAAATAAATAAAGAAAAAATAGAGTATAAGATAAGATAAGGAAAAAAACATAAATCAGGCTGTTGGTTTTCTCGTTGGAATTGTTTTACATTTGTCATTTCGGTGCCTTATTTAGCTGACTATGCGGTATGGATTTCGCTCATAGTTGAAGGCCGAACGTAGACATAATTTATAGTTGTAACTTCTATGTTATTTGGTCTCTGGTGCGGAGTTGTCTCATTGGCAATCATACTACATCTTCTAATTTTTATATTGTATCTTATTCGAATACAATAGCCTTGGTAATAATAAGGTTGAATATAGGAAGTGTGTATAACTGTAAACTTATATTTTTTTCTTCATATGCTACGCATATAGTGAATATATTGAGAGTAAAGTATGTCACTAATAGGGATCTGATTGACAAAAGAGAAATATTTCCATATACAATTAACTTTCGTGATATATGAATGCTTGGAATGCGGCTTGAAAAGAAACAAATCAATTAACGTCAGAACTGCTGAAGTTGTGTAAACCATTTCTTCAAATATATATATGATCAAAAGCATATATTTTGGAAAAGGGGATATGAATAACGGGTCACTAAACTACATAATTAAGACATTCACTCATCAAGGTAAGGTGGGAACTCAATACATGATTTTTTTTACTAGTTGTTATTTGCTTTAAACTAGCTGTCAGTAACTGCGAGTACTCTCAGATCTGTATGTAGTGTCTTTTTGTTGTGTGGATGTCCAAAGTCAGGAGCCTGTAGTTCAGTGGTTATCGTTGGTTCATGTCTGTCATATTTGTTTTTCGTAAATTGTTTTGTTATAAATTAGGCCGTTAGTTTTCTCAATTGAATTGTTTCATATTTTTCATGTCGGGGCCTTTTATAGCCGACCATACGATATGGGTTTTTCTCATTGTTGAAGGCCATACGGTTGCCTAAAATTGCTTACATCCACTTCATTTGAACTTTGGTGGATAGTTGTCTCATTGGCTATCATACCACATCTCTTTTTTTTATATCAAAGAGTTTAACACAATAATCACAATGGACCATTTCCTAAGTTTCTGAAAATGTTCACCGTATATAACTGAAGAAAAAAAGACCCTTCGTTAGAGTTCTTGTTTTTAAACAGTTAATCAATTAGGAATAGCTACAAGATTTATACAATTGCATATGCAATTTTTGTAACATTTTTTTCTTTCTCGAAGATACATGTTTTGTTATCAGTTGTCTCAAGTAATTATAAATTAATAAAATGTAATTCCAATATAATCATTTTAACAAAAGCTTCTTAATTTTGCAGTATGCATGGCCTTTAAAATAAAAACCTAGTGGAGTACGAATATTGAAATAATATCTTGTAAAATTTCAATATTTTGGATTTAATTTGATTTAAGTAATTGTCTGCCTATATACGCCAGCGACAAATATCACATGGATGGTGTAATATTAACTCGTTGAATATGATGGAAGATTAACACAAACAATAGAACAAAAATGGAATAATATAGTATAATAGTATAATTGGTTGTTTTTGAATAAATGGTTATAAGAAAATTTATAATGTGCTTATGATAAGAATACGGAAGAAAAAACGCTTTATTAAAATTTTACGTTTTAAAACCAGAGATGGAGTAAATATATGTAAAAAAAACATTAGCAAAAAACTTGAAATGATATTTCATAATTGATCTTTAAAAGCATACATAAACTCAATTCATTATAGAAATGAACTCGTATGTCCCAATACATAATTTGACCGTAACGTTATTGGTTAACGGCGTTTTTCTCACAATGACGTTAAATCTCCATAAGCCTGGAAATTTCATGGCGGGTCACGCATGTCTTTAATCTCGTGGAATTCATCTTCAACATGACTGTAATCTTTATTAATATCAACTACAACTACGTTTGGTTCCATCTTAGTTCCAGTAACATGATCATAGTTATTTTCCTCTTCACCTGCATTCGCAATACTGCGCATGGTGTCATAGTTTTCTGTTGGATTGTGGGTCTGACTAAGTCGACAATGATCCATGTGGTCGTATGTATCGTCGGATGCAGCTGGTTGAGATCTATGGCTTGACGTGCTTTTTTCACGTCTAACGGTCGGCTTGTTTACTTGTGCATAAACTACTTCTTTTCCGACCATCGCCAATGATTCGTTTGATGTTTCAACTTGGTTATTTCTCTTTCTAAAAAAATAAAATGTAAAATTAAAGGTTATATAAGACGACAGTCACGTTTTAAAATAAACTATATATTCATCTCATTATTTTTATATTTACGCGACTGACGGTTGTCACTTAATATTGCAAAAGAAAACTACAAAAGAGCAACAAAAATATAAAACATTTTAACAGACATTTCAACCTCCAATATCATTTGAAATTCAAGAAAATAAATATTCTACTATACTCATTCACAATGAATATATCTGACTTTTGTTTAAAAATGAAAACAAATTATCCGTACGGGAAAATTGTAAACCATGTAATTAAAGAATAAACGTTGGTCCATGGCATACATGTATATACAAAAAGGCAATGCCAATGCGACAACTTTTCACAAGAGATCAAATAAAGACGGTAGTAACTATACGACAGCTTATGGATTCCAACAATGAGCAGAACCCATACCGCATAACAAGCTATAAAAGGCCCCAAAAATACAAAATGTTAAACAATTTAAACAAAAAAATTGTTGGCTTGATTTATAAACAAAACAATAAACGAAAATCAAATATTATATACAGCAAGAAACGACAACCACTGAATTACAGGCTCTCTACTTGGGTAAGGCACATACAGACTCTGGCGCTGTTAAACATGTTTGCGCACGCCACACTATCCCTTTAACCTTTCACAAACTAGCATAAACACTTAAGACACAGAGAACCGATCTGATAGTTGTATAAATATTATAAATCGAAGACTTAAAAATCAATGAGTACACATCCAATGGAATTAGTATTAGACGTCATAATCGATTATAAACTATCAAAATAGGATAACGTTCTCTTGGTATATCCATTGAAGAAAATCAACAACATAACATACATTTATGAGCATGTGATTTGTTTTTATCAGGTAGAGGGCATAATACATTTTATTTTATCATGCCCGGTATATCACGTAATATATAAATATAAAAAAAAAATACTATTGGAATAAGGCATCAATGTATAACTCATTTCAAATACGCTTGTTATTCAATTCATAAGTTTATGCAACGGATATATTTATGCATTTACTGCTTTGGAACTGAGAAATACTGTTTCTGAAACAAAACACTTACTGAAACTTTTATTTGAATTCGATCTCGAACTATAAATCGATTGCATACCCCATTCATTATTAATTGGTTAAAGTTGTAACTTTGCAGTTTGCTATTTACTGTATTTATTCGTAGTTCTGTCCCTCTTGCCAAGACAATGTACTAGATACAGTGACATTATATTTGCTACCATGCACCCGTTTCATCACCGTCATACAGAAGAAAACGAAATATGCATAGGATTACGTTATCGTATTGTATATGTATTATACATGAAGTTGTCAAGAGTATACGTACCGTCGATAAAGAATTTCATTGAATCGGTACAAATGAACATGGTTTAATATAGTTTATTAATGACTAATAAATATAAAGAAAAATCACTTTACCTTCTGCACTTAACGACTGTTACCAATACAACGATGACCATCAGAATTGTTGCAGCTATTATGGCAAGTATTACTATTGCTGTAAAAAAAAACGTTTTATATAAGATAATTAGTAGACCGTAATTTAGCTATGTCGTTATAACTAGTCACTAAGTCGTTAAAACAAGTAACTAAGTCTTGATAACGAGTTATCTTTGTCAATAAAACGAGTTTGCTCAGTCTTTATAACGACTTAGCGAAGAAGTTATAACTAGTTTCTAAGTTGTAATAACGACTTAAAGTTTACCTACACCCTGACCCTTACCGGCTTCCATACATACTTGTGCTGGATTTCAAGATTTTGTTTGGAATAGAACCCATATCTACAAATCCACAGACTTTATAGTTTTGCCAACTGTTCGATTATACTACTACAAAGTTTAACTTATTTGCGTATACTTTTATATTTTTTTTTAAATTTCGAAATAATTGGTAATTCATGTGTTAGCTTGAATCTACAGTTAAAAAATCCTAAAGCAATGTTAAGAAATATAAAATACCTATACTGATATCTTAGTCTTAGATACATGATTTTTTTATTAGTTGCTTTTGGCTTTTAACTAGCTTCCGGTAACTGCGAGTACGCTGTGATATGTACTTTGTGTCTTTTTTGTTGTGAGGGATGTATAAATACCCTGCCACATCTGATCTGTGTTTTTGTTGGATGTTTTTCTGCCTTTTATCGATCTGATGAGTTAAGCCCTTTAACTGATTTTTTAAGTTTGTTCTTATATGGTGCAAAACCACCAGTGTCCAAGGTTAGGGGAGGGTTGAGCGCTCACAACATGTTTAAACCTACCATATAGTTCAGTAATTGTCGTTGGCTCATGTCTGTCATATTTGTTTTTTGTAAATTGTTTTGTTATAAATTAAGTCGTTAGTTTTTTCAATTTAATTGTTTTCATAATTTTCATTTCGGGACCTTTTATAGCTGACTCTACGGTATGGGTTTTTCATTATTGAAAATTAAATTGCTTAAACCCACTTCATTTGAACTTTGGTGGATAGTTATTTCATTGGCAATCATACCACATCTACTTATTTTTATATACTTAGTTATCTTTTCATTACCTGAAACACCATCATAACCCGGTAAATCTGAAGAGGGAGATTCTAAAAGCACTGGAGATGTAGTTTCCTGAAATTCCGGAGTATGAGAAGTAGTTTCTTGTTTAACTTTAGATATTCCGGAAGTTTCCTGTAGAGCTTGAGATGTAGACTTAAGTTGAAATGGAAATGTACTCCTTTGTGAAGTGGAGTACGTAGATAGTGTTAGACCTTGAACTGTTTTACTTTGTAGGGATGGAGCTGTTTTTTCAAGTCTACGAGAAAATAAAGTAACCGTTGACGTTGTAGAAGACGTTCTTGAAGGTACATTCGTTGACGTCTTTCGAACTTCAATACAAATCCCGGGAAGCTTTTCTCTACATCTAAGGATAATTTTTTTTACATCACCATTTTGCTTTCTTCTGGCAGCTACACAAAATTCAGGATATCCTGCTGCATCTAAGAATTATAATCAAATATACTTGTGGAATTATATGGCATCAATAACAAGTCCAGGATATACAAGAGAGGATAGACCGGATTTTTACATCTTGTTAATATGTATAAACTTCTTCTAGTACTACTGTAACGATATCAATAACAAGGCAAGCATGTAAAAAGAGGAATGACTCGAAATATTTGAAATAGAAATGAAGCTTTCTAAGTGACTATTTAGTCAATTCCTATTTGTTAAAGGAACACGCAGAAGTCCGTTAAAACTAAAACTGGTGGAGAGCCTTTACAAACCACATATTCGGTATTGGTTTTCTCATTGTTAAATGCCAAACGGCGACCTTAAAATTGCTTACATCAACGTCTATTGGTCTGTGGTTAATAGTTATCTCATTGGCAATCATGCCACATCTCCTCATAATTTTGTTTTATATTCATAATGCTACATTAACAAAGGAATACACTGTAAGAGAAAGAGCATATTAAAAAAATTACGTCAGGTCAAAAATTTTGTTTTAATTTGCCCAGTGTGGCAGATAAGATTGTAAAAATATTAAAGAAAACGACTAAAGCTCAATTCAGCATGATAATTACAAAGTTCAAATATATATTTTTGTCTCGCCTTGAACAAATCGAAAAAGCGAGTTTGGCGTTTGTTTCCCTTCGGCGCAGGTGTCAACAATGTTTACGTTTGTGATCAGATCAGTTCATGGGGAACCTCTAATGGTAGATCAATTATATTTGGTCTAAAGTTGTTTATGAATTTGCACATCTTAATTCCATTTAGATTGTTTGGCTCCGCTCCCTCAGTCATGGTATACTGACTTTGAAACATTTGTCTAGTTTACATCTATTACTTTGGGATTTGTTCACTTTAAGGGGAACCACTAGTAGTAGGTCAATGATATTTAGTATATTTCGGCACATCTCATTTTCATGGATACTATATTGCCCCGCCCTGTTAGTCATGGTCTTCGGATTTTAAATGTTTTGCATAGTTTACAGGTCAAAGTTTGTGATTAAAATGAACTGATAATCTTTGGAATTCAGTTGAATTAGCACTTGCAAGTCTCATGTCCATGGACATTATATGTCCCATCTCCCTAATCATGGTTCGGTAACTGTGACACTTTTGCTTGTTTACATACATGTATGAAAGTTTGTGTTTAAATGGAACCTCTAAGGATAAGTCAATTATATTTCATATGGAGTGTTATAAGTTTGGCATTTCTCATTTGGTGAATATTTGGCACTGAACCTTTAGCATGTTTAGCCATGGTTCCAATTTCTATACAGATTTTGTGGCGGTCATCATTAACTGCACATATGCTATTTTCAAAAGTTTACGAAATACTACAATAGCATCAGTCATGCATGATATTAATTGAGCATTAGAAAAAAACTGTTCAAAAATAGGAAAGACACTGGTTTCATTAAAATTCCTTTAAATCATTAAACGCTGGAGGTTACGTAACTTTCAATTATAAAATGTAGTCTGCGGAAGAAAGTTGTTTCCATGGTTTTTCCGTATGATTGAATTTGTAACCCGCTTTAACATCTATCTCAGATTTTTTAATATATATATATATATATTATTAAATTACATTACTATGTAGAACTCTGGCATTAAAATACGTGTTTACGCAAAATATAATTTAATTCTGGTCGATCAAAGTGTGGTTGTTTTTTAACTGGTCTTCCATTGTGATCATCTAATTTTGAAAATTAAAGTAGTCAATGTAGGCTTTTTAACATTTTCATTTTTTTTAGGTGGACTAGTATTTAAAATCTGGAATATTTTTATAACATTTTTGAAAATAACACCGGGTCATCATATTATAAGATAAAAGTTCAACACAACTTAACTTTGTTCATGGTAAAAAATTTTCATATGACTTTACTATTATCCTATTAAACCACGTGACAACACTCGATAAAACTACATCCAATCAATATCAAGCACTTGAAACTCGCACGATGCTACCCTGGCAACACGTGAAGAATAGTTTCATTTTATGGTGTAATTTAATCATGAACATACCATGCAGTACCCTGAACCCTGCGAAGGGAAAAAGCATAGTATCTAACAAGATGCAAAAGTAAAATGTATACTTCCTTCATTTGCTTACCTATCATTCTTTTCCATCGCCTTGTATTAGAAAGCCAAAATTGTCCATGCAAATTGATTTTATTCTGTTGGCCTCCTAATGTTCTATAGCTAGCTAGATTATTGGGTTGGCAGATACTAAAGGCGTCATTCCAATTAGATCTTGTTGCATTCCCTTTGTGGAAGATATCGTTTACAGCTGAAAATGTTTTCATTGAACAATTAATATAAATTGTGTACAACGTATTCACTGACAGCATTTGATTTCCTGCGTTAATCCCTTTCTTTGCGTATTTATATGTAAGTACTTACGACAAAAGGTCATATTACGTAAAGTGCAGAAACAGATGAGTTGTAACTTATATTGAGTCACCATAAAATGAAGATTAAATGAATTTTTAATGTCTATAATCGACTTTTCTTTTTACTTTCTCTAAAAATGTTTGTCATCTATGTTTTAAGGAAGTTCGATACTCTTGGTTTTCACTTTTAGTCAGATATTCGGAATCCTCTTGTTTTATCCATGTAGTGCCAGTACAAATTTTGCCCGCTGACCCATACATTTCTTTTCATAATTTCATTACATTTAGTTTAAAAAGCCATTTATGAAAATCTTATAAAATTCTTGTTATTTTTCAAAGTTTTTGAAAGAAAAAAGGTGCCAATGTTAAATTTATGAAAATATGGAAAAATCAAGAGAGAATAATTTTCCGTTAAATTTTCAATTGATTTTATCATCAAAAACAGGACACGGACCTTTCATTTTTTCCCCCGCTTTTTAAATTCTATTATTTATACACTATCAATGTATAACAGTCTTTTGAAAAAGCTTTTTATTTTGAAACATAGGAGCGAACATCCTTAAGTAAGATAATAATGCCTTTGAAAATGTCTGGTTATTCACATATTATTTAGCCACTAATGGTACTGCTGATTTTTGTAAGAAACAAAAAACTTTACCATGAAATTGAAACAAAAGAGTCTAGGCTGAATAAAGATTAGTCAAAGAAAGTTATGTTGCGAAATAACATTCGTACACGTACACACACACACATACATCAATAAAGAGTGATGTTGTTCGAATGTTAGGTCAACGTAATCATGTGATTAGAAACAAAACGAAGAATGAAAAATAAGCATACAGTATGTACATAAAGGAACTTACAATCGAAACACATCGGGTACATTTGTGTTGAACAATTTGCTGCCTTGAATATCCAAAGTTTGTTATCATATGCCAAACAGTTTCCGATGGAACCATCTATGTATTGTATATTTATATCGTTGTGATCAATTTTTTCTGAAGCATATGACAATAACATATTATCAATTGAATATTTACCCTTTGTTGAAATTTAAACTTTATTCTACGGAGTTAATCGAATCGGTATGGCATTTAAGGTGGGTAAAACAGAATAGAGACTAGAAACGAGGAATGTGTCAAAGATACCACAACAAGAACAAAAAAACAGAATTCAGAAAACAACCCAAGCCTTTGTATACTTAATAATAAAGCACATACATATATATGTATGAGTGAAAAGATAAGGTTGGAAAACGTCATTGATTAAAAGATTGAAAATTGCCGGAAAATTCTATATCAGAATTCTGTAGATTCAGCTTAAAAAAATCTAACTAGGTGATCTTTAGACACGAGTAAAACAATTTGGTCTGAACAGTTCTTATAAGACTGAACAATAAATCAGTATGTCATTTTCAGTTTTACAGTCAATTTTAGGCCTATCCACTACGGTAGACTGTTCAGACAATTCGCTTGCAGTCAATTACGATATAATCAGTCTATGTCCAGAGTTTTCAGAAATTGTTATTTACCTGTGCACATCAACATCAAACTGAATTGTTTGAAAAGTTACTGATCATGCAGTCCTGAATGGACTGCAAGCGAATTGTCTGAACAGTACTGAATTTACTGCAGTTGATAAGTCTGCAAATTGACTGAAAGACTTAGCACGACTGAGTAGTATGTGGGTCAGACTTATTAGTGACATGTCTTCTGTGATTGTATGTAATTGTGTTGCTGCGTGGTGTATCCCCCTTCACTTTTTATTTATATTTGAAATAAAAAATACTAGTCCACATTCATAGACCTAAGTGTTTGATCATTGTAATTTTTTCCGATATTCCTTTAGGACAAGATAAATAACGGATGAATGCTTTTTATTAGTGTCGTCAAATCGAACAGTTTTGCCTAACCAGTTACTCGGATAATCTTTCGATCGATTAACCGGTTAATCGGTAGTTTAGTTGATGTACAAAGGCCTTATCTATATTGCCCTACACATGTAAATTTTTATGATACGATAAATTCAAGTTTATATATCCTTGGGAATTATAAGGCTAGGCTTTGAGCATTCCTGGTGAATTTTACTTTTAAACCTTTTTAATCCAATTCTACCGTATCTACCTATGAAGTTTGTAATCACTTCGGATTGAGAAAAGAAAATCTTCAGTCTTGATCTCGTCGAATTGACAATGTCTGATAAATAAAGGCAACAGTAGAATACCGGTGTTCAAAAGTCACAAATCGATTGAGAGAAAATAAATCCGGGTCACAAACCAAAATCGAGGGACACACGTCATCCACAAGGGGAAAACAAATGAACAACAGGAACACCGAAGTGCAACAGAAACAAACGCCAACACACATAGAAACGAACAATTTGATAACAACTGCCACATTCCTGACTTGGCACCGGACATTTTAAAAAAAATGATGGATTGAACCTCGTTTCATGGCATGCCAAACTCCCCGCTTTATGACAATGTTACAAAATATTGTTAAAAAAAAAACGTGACAGAAATACAGCACAATCTAACGCACGAACATTCACATCAAAGAAACGCACAAACAATTAATATAATAGTCGACACAACATGCAAACAACAGAACAACAACGAACATATTCCATCAACGAAAAACATCATAGGATATCAAAAACAGTGATGCGCTTACGTAATAAACATGCAATCTTGAACACTATACAATTATTTTCACAATATTCGTCCAAACATTTTACATGCCAATGATGGTATGGAAAGCCAATTTTATAATTATTTAGACTACAAATGATAAGACATAACAGATTATCCAACCGAAACCATAACAGAAACATCAACATAAATCCATTAATGTTGGATGTACAAAACACCGAGACACGCCACACAGCAATGCAAATTCACTTTCAGTATAACAGGTATATTCGGGAATATGACAATGATGGTATTGAAATGCAATTTTATAATTATTTGGACAACAAACGATACGACATGACACATTATTCAACAGAAATCATAACAAAACATCAAAAATGAATACATGAATGTTAGATATACAAAATACCGAGACACGTCGAATAGCAATGTTAATTCACTCTCGGTATAACGGTCATATTCGGGAATACCGAATAACCGTTGATTGTTTCCAATCTGTCTGGTATCTCAAAAAAAAATGTGGAGTGTTTCAATTTGAGATGATTAAGCGTGTTACGCGTACTACCAAATACACGTTAATTCCATTCACATGATTTGCATTTCACTATTTTTGAGTCTGCATTTCGTTTAAGGAATGACAAAATCTTGGACGATGGAGGTGGCATATTTACATGTAGGTCTTCGCAATATTAATTAAAAAATGAAATAATTAAGTAAATCGTAAAATGTAATAAGCTTACAACTGTTCAAAATGCATGTATGCTCATTATGTTTACTTTAGATTTTCCTGAGCCGATCGACAAGTTGTTTTTGTGCTAATTAATTTTGTAAAATTAGGTTAATAATAGCAATCAAAATACTGGACAACTGACCTGTAATATTAATTACCACGATAATCATTTTAAAATTAAAGATTTTTTTTCAATAATTTCAATACACATTTATATCAATTCTATTAAAATTGAAAAAAAAGTTCAGGTTAACCGGTTAGCGTTTTTGGTATTTGATATTCTGTCCTTCCAACGATTGACCGGTTAATCGTTGACAGCACCAGTTTTTATATAAATATTTTTCCAATTTTCAATTCTTCTTCAGTCTTTCTAGGGCAACACCTTCCTTTAGTTCAATGTATATGCTAAAAATGCAGTTCATAATTCCATTTCTAATTAAAAAGAAATGTATAAGGGTCAGCAGAGACTGAACTTAAAACACATTTACAAAGCATAATATTTCTCGTAGGTCAAAACTTGATTAAATCAGCCTGTTTTCTTTAGCCAAAAACGAATGTCATAATTTCCCCAATCTTTTGTATAAGAATCATTTAGTAACTCTAATTTAAGCACATTATCATCGATATACAGTTGTAAGTAAACAATTGAAATATGTAATGGAATTTTAAAATCTATCTAGATATGTTAAATTTATCGATGATTAATTTTTACCGACAAGGAATCATTAAAACCGAATTTTTAAAATGACAAGAAAAGAAAAAAATAACTCCAATTATGCTACCTAATTTGTGATCACATCAAATCCGTTTACATTGATGTTTTAATGGAGCAAATTTATTCAATACCCAAAAGAAATTCTTTCTATTTATGTTAAGACTTCAACAGTCGATTAGGTAATTTTTACCGATTTCATTCAGGTAAGACCAACTTAGTGAGCGTAATATTACCGATTTTACAGTCAACAGATATGGTGAAATATTTAGTGAATTTTTATCAACCGTGAATTGTTGTGTTTTAAATGGGCGATATACTACCCATAATGATTTCACATATGTTTCTACTAAATGATCATCAGTTGTCGATTACTGTGTTGTTCCATATGAAAGTTTGTGTCATTATAAGAATTTCAAGTTTTTAAGTTATAAGAGCAAGTGTTTTATGTAATAAAAGTGCTCGGCCAGGTTCTTTTGGTCCAAATCATATACCTGGTCATTCTGTATAATGTTGGGAATTCGAAACTAATTTTGATATGATAAATGAAGTTAATTCTATTATTTTATCACATAATGTTCCCAATAACATGAGCCAACAAAAGAATACATATGTTTCATATGATGTGAAAAATATCCCAAATGATTAGATGACAAATAATGATATATTGAAAATTAATATGAGTATAAATACTATGTACAGTGTTCTAAAGGGAGACAATTTGAAGTTGATAAATTGTATGATAATTTTGTTGAAATTTTACATTCTGAAATGAACAATAAATTAGAATCTAAGGTCAAAGTTCTGAACAGTACAAACAATCGAAAAAGACGAATTAAAAAACCATGGTGGAATGACAATCTAATAAATAAGTGGAACAATGTTTGCACGGCAGAAAATGACTATGTAACTTGTAAACAGGGTACCTTAAAACAACAATTACGTAAACACTTTATTGATAAGCGCAAAGACTTTGACAGGCTTACACAAAAATATAAGCGTCAATATTGGTACCGCTGCAAGGAAGAGCTAGTTAATTTTAATGACAATGATCCAAAACAGTTTTGGCGTAGAATAGGTCAAATTGGTATAGGTAACGAGAGACAGATGTATATTCCGAATGAAGTTACTTTCGAACTATAACTAACAATTAGGAACTATTTTAAGTAAATGGAAAAACAGTTTTCACAGTTTATTGAACCCAAATGTAAATGCAGAGTGTAATAAGGTTGAAAATTGTAATATTAAAGAAAACATTATTTGTATTGATTTAGATAAAGAAATTACCATTGATGAGGTTCATAAAGTTGTAATGAATGAAAAAATTGTAAAAGTGCAGGTATTGACCTTATTCAAGCTGAGTTATGCAAGAATATTTCTATTATTCTATTTTACATAAATTATTAACTTATGTTTCAGTTCTGGTAATGTACCTAATATAATGGAATAAGGGAATCATAACCCCAATACCAAAATGTTCTACATCAGATCCTAGAGATCCTTTATCTTATAGGGGTATAACTCTAGCTCATTTTGCATACAAGATGTAGTGTAGTATTTTAAATGAAAGATTAGTCAAATGGTTAGATGAAAGGGAGATAGTTAACGATGACCAAAATTGTTTTATGAAAGGCAGAAGTACAATTGATCATATAAGCACTATAACATCAATAATAGAAACCAGGCAAAAATGTAAGTTATCAACATATGTAGCTTTTATAGACTTCAAGAAGGCGTATGACTCAATGAATAGAGTTTTTTTGTTTAACAAACTGAAAAATTTAGGATTAAGTTCAAAATTTATGTACTCTCTAAAAGCTTTATACTCTAATGTAGAATGTAGTGTACGTGTAAACGGTAATATGACTGAATTGGTTAACGTTGATTCTGAGTTTAAACA